TTTTTCTGTCACCAATCAATGGAATGCCCTTTATCAATATGTAAATGATGGCCTTCACATCATGTTTTTTTTCTGTCACCAATCAATGGAATGCCCTTTATCAATATGTAAATGATGGCCTTCACATCATATCAATACCATATTATACGCATTGATGTGCAAGCCTTTTCTTGCAGAAAATGGCACTAGCATAATGCATGTTCTTCTGCGGGGAAACATGTGAGCAGTGGTGGTGATACTTTTTTATACGGAGGTCATTCTGTGCATGTTGCTGTTGCAGAATTTCATGACTCTGTCATAAAATTGTCTTGCCTTTCAGATATTTCAGATTACTCCACCCTCGATCAGATTTATTTGAGAAATGTAGCCATGCGGCAGGTGCATGTCGCAGATGTTTTTGTTGATTCTGTGTTTATAATGGTTTATAGTCATGGGTTATCGTGATAAGGTCATCCAGCAAAACATTGAAACTGAAATCGTAATCCTGTTGATGTCGATACAACTTTTGGAAGTAGTTCAATGACTTCAAACTGTTAGTCCACGATTGTCTAAAACAACACAGCAAAGGAGGAACAATAAACATGTATTAAAATGTAAACGAATACATTGCTGAGTCCAAAACCTCGTTCCAACAACTACACTAATCCCGAGGAGAAAAGGGGCAAGGCTATGGTTGGAGGTGCTGAGAGATATACAAGGCACTCGACAATAATAAAATTTTACACATCTTTTGGTGAGTATGAATGATATCCAGTCGAACCTCTTTAGGACGAACACCAAGGGACCGATGGTATTTATTCTGTAAGCTTAACCTATTTTATAACCAGAGAATACAATTATATCTCCAATAGACACACGAAAAGATTTCTTCTACAGCGAAAGATTCTAAGCCACACCGACTCATTGACTCGTCTCGTATGAAACAATTGAGTCACTAGAGATATTCTGCAAAACGAAAATGCGTACAAACTTTCGCTCTACATCATGAAGTGCGAAACTTCGCACCTTTGGACGCGAAACTTGCAGGGAACGCGAAATGAACTGTCGTAGGAAATTTCGTGAGATCGGGTCATGGCGTAAGTGCACTTGGCCCGCGCAAACTACGAAAATGTGCAGAACGCAAAGTTCGTGCAAAAATTCGCACACACTTTCGCAAGGACTGTCGCGAAACTTCGTTCGAATTTTCGTTTTGCAGAACCTCTCTACTGAACATTTCTTTAGCAACATGACGGCAACTGAAACAGCAACAGAGAAAGTACGATACATGTACTCCACATTCTTACAGGTACTACAAACAGATTGCAGATCGTAATTCTTGCTTTGGCGGCACGAAACTTTATTTGAGGCAGTGCAATCCCGGCGGTACTCACAAATCGAACAGCCCAGACTTGAGTAAACAAATCTAATCATACAAGTACGAGATTTTCACGAGACGAAACTGCACCCATTGGCTTGTTTCGTATGAAACAAACAAGTTACTGAACCTCTCCACAATAGAGATTTCCCCTGATATGCGAATATATTTTGCAAACTCGGTCAATTGGTACTTGAACCTTTCCCTCCAGATTGGGAACTGCCAACGATAGTATGCCACTGACCAGTGCCTTACTTGTAACGTACCAATGTACAATGAATATGAGTATTTCGACAACACATCTAACATAAGCCTTACCGTCAAAAAGTTGAACTCGCGTTCTTCGCACACTGTAGACAAGGGCAAAGAGATAAAATGGATCTAAATCCGAATAAAATCAGCACACGTTTCCGTAAATGAAAGGTGAACATAAGCAAATGAATCGAAGGAAACCGGTGAACTTAGAGATCACCTGTCATCGAGTATTCCGTAAAAGGAGGCCTCGCAGCTCGGCAGCAGAAAAGCAAAATTTAGAAAAGAGATCCTGTCAACTTTTCCATTATTTATTGCATTCCGCCCCAAAATCAGCACACTTTTCCTCAATGAAAGAGTCAACACAAGCAAATGAATCAAAGGCAACTGGTCAACTCACCTGTCATTGAGTAATATTCCGCGAAAGGAGGTCTCAGCAGCGCCGAAACGAAAAGCCAGGCCATGAGACGAAATATCCGAAACAGCTCATGCAAGAAGCAGTTCCAAAGAAGGAAGTTCCTCGCGCATGCATATCCGAACACGGATCCGCGGACTGCATGCACTGAACACAATGTCTGCCGTGCACGTGCACAGCACACGGCTACCACGCGTTGGTAGATCTAATACCGAGCACCTTACGTAGAGACTTACGTAGCCTAAGTGAAATACCGAGCACCTTACGTAGAAACTTACGTAGCATAGCGATGTCGTTTTTTCTGCCATGTGAACACAATAATAGAAAAGCTGACAGGATCGCTTTTCTAAATGTGGCCTCTGCGCCCATCATGGACAAGATGGTGAAGTCCCGATTACACCCTGCGACCAAGTCGCGAGACAAAGCCCTGTCGAAACAACAGGCCTTGCTTTTGGACGCCGTAGGTCCTTTGACCTACGTACTAGAGGAAGCTGGGAAAGAGACTCTCACCGTACAAGCCACGGTCGAAGCATGCCAACAGGCGTTGGCTTTTATTGGCAATGCAAATATGCATTTGAATAGAGAAAGGCGGCGAAATGCCATTCTTTGTATGAATCGCGACCTTGCCGAAATGGCAGAAGATGACGATACGTTCAAAACGTCTGCACCCCAGCTGTTTGGAGATGGCTTCTCCAGAAAAGCGAAGGAACGGAGCGAAGAGCTCAAATGTTTGTCGCAGGCGGCGTCCTCGCGAGGTGGCAAGGCTTCCACCGGATCGTTTGTTCGAGGAGGCCGAGCCAACCATGCCCCACGGGGAGGCCATTCAAATCGGGGCAGTTTCAATCAGAACGGCAACCGGTTCCGACCTTACAGCGGAAACCAGTACAATCCCCAGTTCAACAGGAAGCCCAACGACAGAAGTCGTCAGGAGTCAGCAAAGTGAGCCATCCGCCTTTACCCCTTCCTCTAAAGGAAATAAAGAGTTTTCAAAACTACTCAATGTCTTCTGTTGTGAGTGCTCTCCAGCAGATGGGTGAAAAAGACATGACAGAAAGTGTCGTATTTCACCAGTTCCCGATTGCGGGAAGTGTAGCAATGCTTGCACAAAACTGGAATGCAATCAGCTCAGACCAGTGGGTCTTGAAATGTATTCGGGGTTACACAATTCAGTGGCTTCAGAAGCCCTTTCAATCTCACTCTCCAAGAGAGATAGTGTTTCGGGAGGAGGAGAAATCAAAATCTCCCTCGAAATAACTTTGATGGCGAACAAACAGGCCATTTCAGAAGTTTCAATACCCGAGCTTGGAAATGGGTGTCAGAGACCTGACACAAAGTGTCTCGACCCAATGCATGGTTGGGGGGTGTTCAGGGTTACAAAATTCACTTTGTTCAAGAACCCTTTCAAACCGTTTCCCCAAGGGAGATTGTATTTCAAGAGGAGGAAACGAAAAAGATCTCCTCAGAAGTTGTCGCAATACAAAGCAAAAACATGATTCCACTTGCTGGACTGGATAGCTAATGATGTGTAGTAGTTGCGAAGAATCTTCCGACGACGAAGGAGATGAGGACGACGACGACGAAGAAAAATTCAAATTTGAATTTTGAAAAGAATTTGAAAATATTGCAAATCAATGCGCGTAGTCTTGTGCCGAGGCGAGAGGAGCTCTCAAGGCTGGTAGTGCAGAAGAGGATCGATGTTCTTGTTGTTGTGGAGACATGGATGAAGACAGATCCCCCCAAGATCAGTGGTATGACAATAGCATCCTGGACGAACAGGAAGCCAACCTACAAAAATGGTCATGGAGGTGGTGTTGCCATATACGTAAATGACAAACACCTGAGCTACTCAAAGGAAAACCTTGCAGCTACACCAGATGAGGGAGTTGACATGTGCTGTATCAGAATTTACAACAACAACAGTGCTGCGGCCACAAAGTACGGTTTCAGCTCTATCTCCATCTGTGGTGCGTACATACCACCAGAACTGACTGGCTCGGAATGGTGGAGATGCATCCCTCCCAATGTAGACTGTATCGTGTGTGCAGATGTTAACTGTTGTGGATCATGGAGCTCTTTCGGTACACCCCATCAACATGGTGACGCCATTGACACATGGCTCATCTCCAGTAACATGATAGTAGCGAATGAACCGCTCATGCCAACTCGGATCTGTCCCGCAACAGGTTCCTTTAGTTCTCCCGACTTGACAGCTATCCCTGCAAGACTGATATCATCCACAGTTTGGCTGACAGACGACACGATTGGCAGCGACCATCTACCCATCATCTTAACGGTAGAGGCAGTGAAAGTAACACCAAAACGGGAGACGAAGTGGTCGTTCAAAAAGGCCAAGTGGGATGTATTTGTGACCACCCTAGATGCCCACATTAGTAACATGGAGAAATCGGAAAAAGTGAACGCCGCTGCGGAGAACCTGAACAGCGCTGTCCTAAAGGCTTTACATGCAGCTGTCCCCCGTGGATGTCGCACCACCGCACATTTCTGGTGGAACGACGAAGTGGACAATGCCGTCTCGGCCCGCCGTCAGGCTCTGAAGGATATGCAGAGAAACAACACCGACCAACTCAGGCACCAGTACCAACTCGCATGCGACGAAGCATCTCGGGTTATCACACAGACGAAACGTGAAGCATGGCGAAATTACTGTGATGGACTAAATGACTCAACGTCCACCACCAAAGTCTGGCGTACAGTGGCAAGTCTGGCAAGTGTGGTTCGCCCAAAACAGCGGACTCTCTCATTCTGAATGGAAAGACATACCACACTGAGAAGGAAAAAGCCACGGCATTCAACAGTCACCAGACTAGATCTCAACATCACCATGAGCAGTCCATTACGGAAGTAGAACGGCAGCAAGCCAGAACAGCGAGTCGGAATACCCTTCGGAAAGCTAGGCTCCAACTGCGGTACCTAAATGCCTGCCAGTCTACTTCAGTCCTTTCGCTTGAAGGACGGAAGATGGATGTGCGCATCCTGAAGGATGATGGTACAAGTCAGTGGTATCGGGGTGTAGTCATCCAGCATCTGCTTCAGCAAGGGAGCTCTGGCACTGTACTGGTGCAGTGGGCGAATGGTGACCCAGATGAACTCTTGAACCTTGACAAGGAAGAATGGAACATGGTAGACGAGAATGACGACGAGAGATCTGAGTATGATTCTGACTTCTCTATGTCCGAGGTAAAACATGTACTTCAGTCGATGGCATTCTCCAAGGCAGGGGGCCCTGATGGTGTCCCAATGCAGGTTCTCCAGCATCTCACGGACTCAGCCATCCAGGAGTTGACACGCATCATCAACATGTCTTGGACGTCAGGAATGTGTCCCCTCCTCTGGAAGTCCAGCCGGCTGGTGCCTATTCCAAAGTCAAAACCCGGAGCTTACCGCCCGATTAGCCTAACTAATGCATTTGCCAGAGTTGCAGACCGACTAGTCACCAGGAGGCTAACTCACTTTCTAGAACGCTTCCAGGCTATTCCGGGTGAGCAAGCTGGGTTCCGGACTGCAATGAGTGCCGAGATGCAGTGTTGCTCCTTTGTTGAGTGGATCTCTCAACGTCAACAGAATGGTGATAGTGTCAACTGCGTGTTTTTGGATGCCTCAGCAGCATATGACAACGTGCACCATGACATTCTCATGGCCAGACTTGGAGCATTGGACCCGCCTGCCAGGCTCACAAAGTGGATCAATTCCTTCATTCGCGGCAGGGAAGTTGACACCAAGTGGGGGTCTACAGTGAGCAAGAAGAGATCCATCCACCGTGGTGTCCCGCAAGGCTCCTCGATGTCTCCCGTCCTTTGGCTTCTGTATATGGCGCCCATCTTCGATGACCTAAAGCTGCCTAACCTAGCAAAGCACCGTGCGGACTTTATGCCTTTCTTGTATGCTGACGACATCGCTATCGCTGTCTCCAGCCGTCTGGTCGAGGCTCTCCAATCTGTCACGCAGGATCTGTTGAACCATGTTGCCGACTTCTGCCGGCGCAGCTGTATCACCCTGAATGGCTCAAAATCTGTGCAGGTTGTGATATCGACTTCATATGCCATCCGCTGTGCTGCCATCCCGCAGACCTTGAACGGCACACCTATCCCTTCAGCTGATTCAGCTCGCTTCCTCGGTATATTGGTCAACGCAACGATGAGTTTTAAAGAACAGTGCCTCGCTGCACGCCGTCGCATTGAACAACGCCTTCGAATCGTGCGAGCTACGAGTGGCCATAGCTGGGGCCTCAATCAGCAAAACACCACTCGGCTTGTCAACCAGTACGTGCTCTCTTCTGGTCTGTATGGGGCACCAGCCTACTATGGTCTTGCCACCAAGCAAGGTCAGCATCATCTTGATGTTGCCTACAATAGCTGCCTCCGCCTCTCCACTGGGTGCACGAAGACAACACCTACGAATCAACTACGTGAAATAGCTGGTGCACCAACTATCCAGCTGAAAGTCGAGCGCCAGGCGGCCTGTATAGCTAATATCGCGAAGCGTCATAGTGCTCCTACACCAGCTAGTGCCGTGTTGCAGTCAACATACCCTGTTCGGATCCGCAAAACCAAGGAGACATGGAGACAAATGGCAGAGCGGCATCTTCCACCATTCCCTGCACCTCTGCCATCCCGTCCTCCACCCTGGTCCTCCGTTCCAAACCTATCTGTTTTCAAGTCCGCTTGCACCCGGTCTGACCCTCCTACTGTACGACTTGTAGAGGCACTAGCATGCCTGGAGGAAGCCTATCGCTCCTGTTGTTCCTCGCGACGTCTAGACATTTGGACAGATGGCAGTGTCTCTGACACCAACGCTGGTGGAGGTGGTTTTCTTGTCATGGAAACCACTGCAACCCAGCGGTCAGAGATACTGTCTGGGTGTCTACCAGCTGGCGCTGTCGCAACATCCTTCACTGCCGAAGTAGCAGCAGCAGCAGCTGGCCTGAGGGCAGTCTACGACCTTACCACCATGGAGACGGACGTTGTGCTGGTCACTGACAGCCTCTCCCTCGTAGATGCCCTCCGTGGAGACCCATACAGGATCAGCCCAGACACCATTGCTGCGTTCGATGCTCTGACAGAGGTTGCTCGGAAGGCTCATTCCATCAACCTTGTCTGGATCAGCAGCCACTGCGGTGTTGCTCTCAATGACAAGGCGGATCGCCTTGCGCGGAATGGAACACAGTGTGTACAGGCCCAGGTTCAGCTACCTATCCAAGCTGCCAAGGCTTCAATTCGGTCTGCAACCGCATACCCCCGGCCATTACTCAACACTAGCAAGTTCCGCAGCCCTCCGTCCCGGCATGAGACCACCATCCTCAATCAGCTGCTCACTGGCCATTGCAGCCTGCTGAATAAGTACTTGTTCCAGATTGAGGCGGCACCTTCACCCGACTGCACTCACTGTCCTGGAACAGTTGATGATGCTGCCCACCTCCTGCTAGCTTGCCCTGCCAGACACAGCAGTCGAGCAGGTACACGTCTATGTACCTTCACATCAGTCAGGGAGGCAATTCTCACACAACCATCAGAAGCTATCCAGTTCTTGCAACTGGAGAAACTGATCTAAGTTTCTACTACATGTACACTGTACTCTCACAGTCATTTTCATATTTATTATGACTTGTAGTTACCGAAGAAGAAGAAGAAGAAGAAACATGCGATTTCCGAAGTAATGCCTGCAGATCAAACGAACAATCAGTTTGTGTCTCAACTCTTCGCTGTCCCGAAGAAAGACAGAGCGATAAGACCGATTATCAATCTGAAAGCTCCGAACCATTTGTGGAAGTGTCCCATTTCAGAACGGAGGGTATACACATGTTGAAAGATCTGCTGAGACCAGGCGATTTCATGACGAAAGTCGACCTGAAAGATGCGCACTTCATGATTCCCATTGCCAGGGAATATTATTATTATTATTATTATTATTATGAAATGACCCAAAGGCAATGTGCCTATCGAGGGGTTCATTTGATTGAAAGAACAGTAGATGTAGATGTATGTACAAAGAGAAGTAGGGATTGATGAGGAGAGAAATGGGGATATTGCCGCAGACCAGCGAAAGTTGCTGCGTTTTGCATGGCAGGGAAAGATGTATCAGTTCAACTGTCTGCCGTTCGGACTATCGTCAGCCCCGCGGGTTTTTACCAAGACCTCAAGGGCGGTGATAATCACACTCAGGACTGAGGGTGATCATTCATATCGACGATATCCTGAGCATGGCGGAGAACGAGACAAACGACCACACGGCCGGTCTGATTTTCCTCCTGGAGAATCTAGGGTTCATTGTGAATTACCAGAAACCACAACCGAACTCCACCAAGGAGATAGATTTTCTCGGCTTAATACCGGTGAACTCCGAGAATCTGACGATCAGATTGCCGGGAGATAAATTTACCGTGGAGAAAACACGATCAGATGCAAAAAATTGCGAGAGGAAAAAACACACTCAGCAATTTCTGTAACTCACCTGTTGGGCAAACTGAGCCATGCTGCACATGCGATTCCACCAGGTCCTTTGTTCTATCGAAACCTTCAGGGCTGTTTGCAGAAAGCCCTAGAGGAGGGATCTTAGAATTACGATCATCCTTGTCTCTTGAGCAGCGAAGCTCTGGAGGAATTGGACTGGTGGATCGATCACCTGACAGACTGGAACGGTCGTCGTCTTCTCACGCCGAAACCAGACCTGGTGATAGAGACGGATGCCTCGACAGTGGGCTGGGGATCATCTTGCCAGAACTCCCAAACAGGCGGTCCGTGGAGTAGTCAGGAACGAGAGATGCATATAAACTGCTTGGAGCCGTTAGCAGCCTTCCTGGCTGTAAAAGCATTTCTGAAGTCAAGTCGAAATCTTCTGGTTCACCTGAAGATGGACCGTGAGCACCACAGCCTTCACGTATATCAACAAGTTCGGAGGCACTGTGTCTCCCGACCTCAATCGCCTCACCAAAGAGGTGTGGACATGGTGCATGGCAAGACAGATAACTCTCCAGGCCACTCACTTAGCAGCGGATCACTGAACACAGTTACAGACGACGAGTCTCGCGTGATGAAAGATCGATCGGACTGGATGTTGCATCCAGATGTATTCCAGGAGATCTTTGCTCGAATGGGTCCCATGAATGTAGACCTGTTTGCCTCTCGGCTGACACATCTCCTGCCGATGTATGTGAGCCGGCGTCCCGATCCAAATGCGATAGACGTGGATGCCTTCTCGTTGGACTGGACAAAGTGTCAGGGTTATGCCAACCCACCTTGGAACCTGATAAGCAGAGTAGTAGCACAGGTCTGCCCTCAGAAATCTCGGATAGTGCTTGTTGCACCGGTATGGCTGAGTCAACCGTGGTATCCAGCCCTCCTGGACCTGCTGGTAGAGGAGCCCCTGTTGCTTCCCAGCACTCCAGATCTGATTCAGCCGACGCACAGCGTAAACGAACCGGAGATAGTCCCTCGTCTAGCCGCGTGGAATATCTCAGGAGAAAGTACACCAGTCAGAATGTTTCTGAGGAAGCTTCAGAACTCCTCCTTGGATCATGGAGGCAGAAATCTACGAAGACGTACGACTCCCTATTCAAGAAATGGATGGGCTGGTGTCGTGAACGGAACAATGATCCCTTTTCAAGTGATATAGCCACGATTGTCAACTTCCTGGCATCATTGTACAAAGCTGGTTATCAATACCGCTCTATCAATATTGACAATAATTACAGATCAGCAATTCCTTCCGTCCAGGAAAAAAACTGACAGGTATGACACTGGTCAACACCCAATGGTATCTCGTGCGGGTATCGATACTAGTATCTTCAAAGCACACTCTGTGCAGAGTGCTTCTGCATCCGCAACAGCGGATGCTGGTACTACTACGAATGATATCTTGAAAGCAGCAGACTGGAGCAGCCAGTCGGTCTTTCAGAAGCTCTATTATTAGACCCCAGCATGATGAGAAATATGCTCAGGCAGTTCTCTCGAAGCTGTCAACCACTGGCAGAGAGCTACAAAATCACATTGATATGGAGACAGAGCATTCTGAAGTATAATTACAGAATGGCTCAGACCACGCAGTGGTTGCCAGCTATTTTGGATTATATGAAGAATGTGATGTCGAACATATCAATGTCCCAACTCTGACCCTCCCTGTGTTATAATGCACATAATATGCTTGTTCCGAGGCTCGCTATTCAAAAGGCCGAAGAACATAGAGGAAACAAGGGCTTTTATCAACGAAACCTGGTGTTCCACGCATGCGTTAACACCAAGGATTCAAATAAAATCACAAAATTCATGAATTTTCACTACAAAAAAGCTATCAAGAGTTAGGAAACTAGGCCAAACACATTGATATGTTCGACATCACATTCTTCATATAATCCAGAATAGCTGGCAACCACTGCGTGGTCTGAGCCATTCTGTAACTTTCACACCAAGGTTCACATGGTTCAACTCGAGTTCAACTCGAGTGACAGGACTGCACCCAAAAAAGGTCAAACAGGCTAGTAAGTTGTACCCTGCAGGCACGGTGACCAGGTGACTGGTGTACGCAGGAGCACGTGACCGCTTGTTCAAGCATGTTCGATTGGGAATAAAGGAAGAACGCTGCATCGCAGCCTTTTCGGACCAAAACCAGTCGACTCAGCGTCCAAAAGACTACAACATATGGGCCAATCGCGGTAATCCGTGCTTTTATAAGAACGAAATGGCGCTTTTAGTGACATTTTGCATACAAATCCCCATCTAGTAGGGCGCAGTCACCCAGTTTCGGTGGAAGTGCGCGAGTTCGATTGGGATTCAAGTAGGACGGGAGCGTCTCAGCTTTCTCGGACCAAGACCATTCGACTCAGCACCCCGAAGACTACAACTGGTGTAATATTAATTTTTGCCTTAACTTCCCCTTTAACCGTTAATCCTTCGTAACCGGTCTGCAACCGGTTAATCGGACTAACCGTTTGAGCCCTAAAAAAAAGCATAGCGAAGGGCCCTGAGCTTCCAAGCTCTCTCGTTTCTGGCATTTGGAGGTTCGAATTATCAGGATTCCACCTGTAGTCGCTGATGTCTTGACTGTATTGGATTCCCTTTGGGTCCTGGACCGTTCGCGGACGTAGCGCACGGCCAAAGCAGGTCAACGCCACAGCGACGAGCGATCAACTCGAACTCTTCAACTTGCAGCCACGGACGCAGGCCTGACCGAATGATGATGAAACTCTTCACCGCGGTGGGCTTGACGGGTGAGTGGCAACCCAGGTCCTGCGCACGCCTTGGTCAGGGAAATGAGGGAGCCCAGTCGCCAGCGGTGCTGACGTGGAACGAAATCTGTAGTGAACTTCTGGTGAGAAATTCCTGTTTGTGAAGATAGATTGGAAGACCGCCTTTGGAAAGTTTCATCAGTTTGAGAATATAGTAAAAGGGCTTCGGCTGCGCACCCGACCTTATACTGCAGACCACCCCAGGATCTCGGCGCTCTCCCGCTGCCTATGCAATTGCAAGGCCATGGAGAATGAGTAACCCGTGACGTAACAGTTCCGTTCCATGACACGCTAGAAAGTGTCATTCTTGTAACGGACGCACAGTAGAATGGCTTACAAAAGTTAAAACACAGGAACTGGTGTTGAAGTCGGATGACCATCGACGGCATCGTGTGGCAAGTCGCACCCCTGATCTCCTATTGCGGAGTCCTAGATCCTGCACCACTCATACGGTCTCTCACACTCCACTCACACACACACAAACACATATTGATGGGGACTGGAAGAAGCTTTTGTGTATGAAATGACTACATGAATATAAAAACGTTCAGACAGGAGTGGGGTGTAAGTATGTGGTGGAGAAGGTGGTGGTGGGGCGTTAGTGTTTATAGTGTACAAGTAACACATGTACATTATTACAAATAATTATTTTAAAAGTGCAAATCAGCACTCAGAAGTTGCCCGTGGAGAGCTGATCCTTGAAGCTTTGTAAAAGAGAAGAAGCATGTTTGTTTTGATAGGCTAAAGTAGGAGGAATGGTCTCAAGAGTAAAATTTGGAAATCGATAGATCAAGTTGGTCAAATGCTTTGAAATCGCAAGGAAAGAAGGAAAGAAGTTTGTTGTATTTGAACTGTTATGGCAGAAGCATCGGGGCAGTGTTGATTACGAGGAACGATGAAGAGAGATCCAAGACTGCTCTAGGGAGGATACTGGCGCAGTGATGGAAAGCTGCAGGAAGCCCAAATTCAGCTGGAGTGAAACGCTCTGTTGTCCGCTGGTAGAAGGCTTTGGTTGGCCTGCACGCGTGCAGGAATCACTGGGATCAGAGTAAATCACGGTGTTGCGATTTGCATCGACGATGATGGGACAGGCGATAATAGACACCTCATTATTCACCACTGCAACGGTGCATGCAGCAGATGTACTTCTTTCATATTGCATGGGTTGTACTGATGTCTCCTCCAGTACTGGCATTTGGCTTTCTTGGCTTTGAGGCACCGAGTGTAAAGTGCTGGGTTGTCGAGCTCCTGGTTTCTGATCATCCTCTGACCATGGCTTGATCCACACTTGGGGCTTATGCTCATCTGCTCGCTCATCAGCACTGCCACT